GTGTGTGTGTGTGTGTGTGTGTGTGTGGTGAATTCTCATTTCGATTTTCGTACATGGTTGGTTGTGATGTCTTTAGTGGTGTGGGGAGCCCTGGAGACTTTGCACTGGCTACCTCGGTCGGGCGGATTTTTGCGCAAGTTTTTGTTAAAACACTGATTCCAGTAGAGAGCATTTCTCAGCAAGTTTCAAGTGTAGCATAAACAGCGAGCGGGCCCACTCTAATGGTTACACGCATCTTAAGTTGGTCAGGCAGAGAGCAAAGTTTGCCCTTGTTACTTTTAGAATTGGAAATAATCGGAGGACCAAAGTTAGCAGCTGGATGTGGGAACTGGTGCTGATCAGAAATAGAAAGTTTTGTGAATCAGAGAACAGTGAACTGGGAGTTTTCGAGTCCTGTGATTTCTGCTCTTTCTGGCTTAAATTAAAAAATAAATCCTTTTATTCTGAGATATGATATTGACATACCTCAGATAAGGAAATTTGTTTTATAATAACCATCGTCTGTATCTTTCAGCGTTTACCACCTCTAAGGAGGCATAGCAGGTAGCTTAATTTAGAACGTTAAGGAGAAATTAAACAAAACATGGGCTTAAAAGTTTACAAAAAGTGAAAAAAAATAAATTTTTTCTATGAGTTGATCATTTTGTTCTCTGATTTATGTCGTCTCAGGCTAACAAGGTAATCACTAACCTACATATATATTCATAAAATAAATATTCTTGTTGTAAGAATGTAATTTTGATTCACTGGGTAAGAAATTATTTCAGGGATACTTTGAATAATTTATGGATTTAAAACATATTTATATTTATGTTTTAAATGCGTTACATACCTATTTCCCAGTGTGTATACTGTTAAAGAATCTTGAATTTTAAAGGTAAAAACCAGAGAAATGAAGGTTGTGTCTAACCACCTGTCTGTCGTACATACAATGAGAGGGACAGGGTCACCTATGTAGCCCAGGCTGGTGCTGAACTTACATCCTGCCCCAGTTCCCCTAGTACTTGCATAGCTGTACTCTTATTTAAAATGAGGAATTTTATTGTGTGAACTTAGAATATGGGGATGATGTGAATGATTAAAATTAATTCCGTCTCATGTGGAACTGGTTGTATTTATTCTAACACACAGAGCGATGCCTTGTGGACTGATGCATGTTGAGTTTGAAGTTAGATTACAGATGTGAAGGCTTAAGGAGAGGGCTGTGAATTTTTTTCTTCCTTCCTTTTTCTCTTTTAAAATCAATGCTAGATCCTTAGGAGATTGGGGTGCATAGCAGTTGTGAAGACCGCCAGACGGTTCTGTCTTTCACCACCACTTTGAGGGAATAGTCATTTGTTGTAACCAATTGGTTTCTTATATACTAGGAATGCAGAACACTGGCTGCATTTGGAAATCAAGGAAAATGTGTGCCAGGGTTAGTAGGAAACATAAAAAAACACTAAGTTTGTGGGAACTGCTTTGAACATATTAATAAGTAGACACCAAGTGTGCTTGAAATTTGAGGAAAAGTAACACTGTACTAAGGTGTGTGTGTGTGTGTGTGTGTGTGTGTGTGTGTGTGTGTGCATGGTTTGGATGGGTGCATGGGGAGGCCAGAGATCAGCTGGAGTTGTCTCTTCCCTTCCTGTATTGCTCTCCACTTTCTTCTTCATCTTCTTTCCCCACCCAACCTGATTGTTCTCTTTAAATCTGGCTCACTGATTGGCTAGATTGGCTGGCCAATGAGCTACAGGGCTCCTTAGGTTTCTAGGTTTCTACCCTCCCTTAAGTGCTCAAGTTACAGATGAGGGTGCTCTTTGTGGGAGTGCTCAGGATCTGAACTTCATGCTTTTGTGACTGTCACTTTATTACTGGATTCTTTTCTTTTTTATGGGAGTGGGTGGGAGGATATGTTTTGAGGCAGGGTGTCTTTGTGTAGTTCTGGAACTTTCCCTGTAGACAAGGCTGGCCTCTCACTCACAGAGATCCTCCTGCCTGGGCCTGAGTGCTGTGATTAAAGGTCTGTGCTACCAGGGCCTGGCTGTTGTTGGATTCTTACTTAGCACCCCCTTTTCTACTGACAGCAATTTCTTTTTTTTTTTTTTTGAATTGAAAAAGTGAGAAAATCAGAACAAAGCGGTTATGAATGGTGGCCTTTATAAATACGCAATGGTAGGGAAGAGCTGGGAACTTTAAATGTCTGTGGAGTCTGAGCTACAGTTTTGTAGCTAAAATTTATGGCAGTGGGGGGAAGGGCAGTTAATTAATTAACATGTAATGAACATTTAAGTGTCTGCTATGGATTAAATCCAAGAAGGCATTACTTACTTCTGCCAGATACCGTGTCTTAGGAATATAGTATAGACTTGTGAGTTTTTGAAAACATTTCTACGGGGATATGTAGTTTTGTATAGTTTTGTCTAATAAGATCTCTTTGCTCATCTGGAGAATGCTGGCTTAACCCCAGCAAATAATCCAGGACCTACCTTTAGGATCCGGACCCATTTGATGGGGGAAACCACAGCTGGGTTAGAATATCTCAATGTGCTTTCTGTTATTTATTCTATTTCTACTCTTTAATCTTTCTCCTTTCCCCACAGGCTTTCCTTTCTCCTCTGTCTTGAGTACTAAAGAGTTTGCTAATTGGGCTGGAGAGATGGCTCAGAGGTTAAGAGTTCTGGCTGCTCTTGTAGGGGTCCTGAGTTCAATTCCTTGAAACCACATGGTGGCTCACAACACTTGTAATGAAATCTGGTGCCCTCTTCTGGCGAGTGAGCTTACATGCAAGCAGAGCACCTTATACATAACAGATAAGTCTTTAATGAAATAGTTTGCTAATCGCTGTTCAGCAGAAGCAAAAGGAAATAAAATTAACCTTTCTTTTAAATTTTATTTATTTGTTATTAACATTTCTCTCTCTCTCTCTCTCTCTCTCTCTCTCTCTCTCTCTCTCTCTCTTTGTGGTATAACTGTGATCCTATGGGTAACTCACTAGGTCACTGTTACCATTTACTTCTGGGATCACTCAATTCCATCCAGTCTACCTCACATCATAGTAGAGGTAGGACTCAGCTCCTGATGGACCCCTGAGGCTGCATTGTCACTGGTATCGCAGGACCAGAGGGCCCCTCTCTCCCAGGGTCCAAGACTGTGCCAGTGGCCACTTTGAAATTCTAAGACTGTCTCTGCTGTCACTGCGCAGGCTTGCTTTCCACCTCTGGGGTCTCTATTGTGATTCTTTTAGTTACCACCAAGAACTCCACATAGCATCTACCATACATGCCTCAGTGTCACAGATAGTCCTCCGTCACGACATAGAGGACATCTATTGTGCCACACTCACCATTCATATATTGTCCATGGGGGCTTTAACTTATTAGAGCAGACCTGAACAGTTTAACAGAGACTACCTGCCTACAAACACTTTAGACATTCACAGTAGAATCTAGGGGCCATATGTCTGTCTAAATGGAGCAGTGACGCTGGGAGAAGAGCTGCACCTGCTGTGGGTGAGGAGTCCTCCTTATCTGAATCCTTTCTCTCCTCCAAGAAAGGACTCTGGGATCTCTGAGAAGTGGTTCTGTGGTGGACACTGGGCACAGGAGGCCAGCTTTGTCCTGCATGTCAGTTCTCATATGGTTAATTATCAATTTCTGGCAACATGTAACTTGCTGACCATCTGTTTGCCTGTAGAATCTGTATGTTCTGTCACTTTGGGGGCACACACCCCAGCCTAAGGTCACAGCCTGGGTTCCACACACATCACAAATCATCTGAACCCTGGTCCCTCCATGATGCTGTCCCCTCACCACTCCACTTTGGTCCTCATCAGGACATTTCTGCCCATGTTCCTGACGTCTCATCTCAGGAACACCATCTGTCTTCCCTGCCCTGGCCCTGTACAGTTTTCATTACTGGGCATCTGCAGAGGCCCATGTCCTTCTCCCCGGGCAATCTTTCCATGCATGGCATGCAAGAGTCCTCCATGCTCTCCTATGGAACAGAGTGGACATATTTCATAACACATCCCCTTTGGTACGTGTACTCTTCTTAGTCTTTCATTACCAGGTTTAGAAATTTTTGATTTCTATTTCATGCAATATGGACGATCCTCTGACCAGGTCCCTGAAAGCCACTCCTGGGGTCAGTGGTAAGCCTGTCTAACCTACTTGTGGAGTCCCAGGTCTTAGAGACCTTGTCTAATCAATACTGCTGTAGCACAGTTGTGAGAGGTTATAGAAATGTGTTCCTTACTACAGCGTGGGGGTCTATTTATAAATACTTTCTTCTAAGTCATCCCTCATAACCTATTATTGTTATCATTATTGATATTATTAATTGGCAAATGTTTGGAAGTCAGGGATGCTTTCTTTGAAATGCCTTCAAAATTCACTGTTCCTCCTACCACTAAAACAGCTGGTGAAAGAAACAGACAGACAAAAAGATTTAAAAAAAAAAAAGAAACAGACAATTATCTTGATAGGTACCACATACCAAAATTAAATAGAGACCAGATAAAAATTTTAAATGGACCTAAAACCCCTAAGAAATTAGAAACAGTCATTAAAAACTTCCCAACCAAAAACAAACAAACAAAGAAACAACAACAAAACAGGGCCAGATAGTTTCAGCACAGAATTCTATCAGAATTTCAAAAAAGAGCTAATATCAACACTCCTCTGGTGTGGGAAATCTGTCTATGTGTTGCCTTTATTGGTTAATGAATAAATCTGGTTTTGCCAGTGACCTAGAAGAATAGAACAAGGCAGGAGTTCCAAGCAGATGGAGGAGGAGAGAGTAGGCAGAGTCAGGGAAAGCCATGTAGCCTTCGCTGAGGACAGAGGCCTGCACTGGAGCCTGGTGAAACTTTGTCAGTAGGCCACAACCTCATGGCAATACACATTAACAACATTTCTCAATATGTATGACCACCATGTCCCTTCTGGATATGTCTCACTTCTGGACATCTTGTCTGACTGTGATCTGTTCACATAACAGCCTAGTGGGAAAGAGCTCACCTCATCGTGTCTGCTTGAGGCCTGATGGGTCTTCTGATAGCCCAGGACCACAGGCTGCTCTCTCCCAGGCCCCAGGACCATGCCAGGGGCACATGGCATGAAGTGTATTTTCCCTGATCCAGATGGGCCAGACTGGCTCCTGTCCAGTCAAGGTGCTTCTCCAATTAGACACTGCCATGAACTCCACACCGGGCCATTTCCTAGAACTGAGAGATTGTCCTGGGTACAATGAGATGCAGAGAACTCAGTACTGCTCAGTCCAGCAGGCTGGGTGCCTCAGCAGTTGAAATCTGACAGTGAAAGCTGGCAGCTGTAGGTATAGATTCCATGGCTTTGTCACTGAGAATACCTGTGGTTGTAGCAGTAATAGAGACACTTCCTCTTTGTGCTGACCTGGGCTGGGTCACCCCTACTGATGGAGGGTCTTGCTGTCATTCACTGTCCATTCTGGAAACACTCTCATAGACACAGAGCATCTGAACCATTCTCCCTATCTGCTAAGACAGTCAGACCGACAATAGAGTCCACCATAACTGCCCCTTACATTTTTGTCCTCCGTGTTTTAACTTAGAGTTCCTACCATAGAGTAAACACAGCATGGAGGCAACACTCACATAAAAACACACAGATTGCGCTACAGATAAATCTCACAGCCTCTCCCACCCCTGCCCTACTGTACCCTCCTCTCCCAGTAACTCCCCATTCCCTTTTTGTATGTTCATGTTCTACTCTCCTTCTTCATCTCTGCCTTATACCCTCTCTCCCATCTCCTGGACCTTCTTTTATTTCTTGGTTTCTCCCCACACTTACTCCCCATTAGATCACTATATTTAACTTTTAGAAACTGGGATCCAGAATGAATTCAAAGCTATTTCAGATACAGAAGTGGGGAGAGGTGGGATTTCTGGGACTCACTGACCATACTCCAACTCAGAGAGCTGAGGCCTTTGAAAGACCCGTGTCCTCAAGTATGATGGATGGAACCTGTGGATCCACAGCCAAGGTCAATCACCATCCTGCATGTACAGCACCCACTGTATACACACACACACACACACACACACACACACACACACACACTCATATACACACGTTCACAAACATAGGATTCACCTGCAAAAAAAATGTGCAAAAACAAAAATCCCTTAAAAAAAAGTGACAGCAAATTCAAAAATATTCTACCAAATATCTGGACTTTTCATATGTAAAAACCTCTTAAAAAAACATGGGGGGAAATCATTTTTAAGTCATGTGTGTGAGCACTTTATCCATGTGTGTTTCTCTGGCCCATGTGTGTGCAGTGCCCATGAAGGCCAGGAGCCTGCATGGAATCCCCTGGAACCGCAGTTCTCCTGGCTATGAGCTGCTGTGTGGATGCTGGGAATCCAGCCTGGGCCCCCAAACAGCAGCTGGTGCTCTCACCCTCTGAGCCCTCTCTCCAGACCCCAGAAGCTCCTTTTAATTGGGAGAAGTTTTTTAACTGCAGAACTCTCCTGAAGGTCTTAGGTGCCAGTGTCACAGAGGTAAGGAGGAAAGCTCAGACTTCCTTCCCCACAAGACAGCTACTGTCTCCAACAGGGAGAGAGTGAAAGGAAGGAAATGGAGGGGGAGGGAGAGTGACTAGAGGGGCAGGGGGAGGGGCCACCGTGACAAGCAGGGAGACAGGAACTTGGGGTGCAAAGACTTTGAGGGGGTGATGGGCAAGGAACCCGGAGGGGCAAATGAGTCTGGAATGGGGGAGAAACTTGAGAAAGAGGAAATGAGGAAGAGCATGCTGGAGGTCCCAGGGGACCCAGAGGGATGGTCTAGAGGGAGACAGAGAGAGTGTGAATCTAGAGGAGTAGGGGAAACCGCTAAAGCTACAGTGCCACCTACTGGAAAGACCAAAAGACACTTTGTTGTTGTGGGCATGGAATCTCACAGGGACAAGCTGGGGTAAATTTCTGGGGCACATTGAGCAGAGAACCGGCAGAAGGCACGACTTACTCTGTCTTCGTCTCTCCTGATTCTGTTGTCCAGGGTCCCTGAGGGCCCAGCTGAGGTGAGTGACATAAAGGGACAGCTTGTGTGGGGGCCCAGGACCACAGCGCCCTCGCCTCTCTGTTCACACTGAGCTGAGCGCTCCAGGTGCCCAAGCTTGACTGAAAGGAAATGGCAGTGGGCTCCCAGAGAACCGGAGCTGCATGGCCCTGAGGGACCCCGAAGAGATGTAGGAAAAGATGGGAACTAGGAACCGGCATGGCTCTAGCACAGGAAGGACTGAATTCACAGCCCAGGTGTCAGGTCTTTGGGGAATCTCTGCGCTGTGTCCTCTGCGGGGCAGTACTGAGGACTCCCCATTCTCTCTACAGCTCCAGACACACCTGTTGGGAGCCTGGGCCTCAGGAAGGAACCATGGCAAAGGCTGCAGCCTTCGGATACTACCTTTCCCTAGTTCTGTGCCTTTTCGTTCTGCTGATCTGTCTGGGACCTTTGCTGCAAGCCAGTGAGTTACCTGGACTTAACTGGATGGGGATGAGAAAGGGGAGATTTGGGCTACTGAGTCAGGAAGATTAAAGTCTCACAGGAAGCTCCTGGGTTTCTTTCTCTTTGCTATCACCCGGATATAAGTCTGGGAGCCCTAGTCCTCACCGCGTCCCCCTCATTTTTCTCTTCAGTGGATTGACTAAAGTTGTGGGGAAAGTTACTGTGGCAGGGCCAGAAGGGGCTGCATGAATGAGGAAGGCACAGCAGCAGAGGGGAGTGGCTAGTGAGGCCCTCAGCACCACTGGGGTCCACAGAAGGCTAACCGAGTCGCCAGTGAGGAGCCCTCCAGGAAGCGGTGTCAAACAGCTGCCCTGCACCTAAGGCAGTCTGTGCTCTGAAGACTGCCTTCCTGGGGTTCCTCACAAGCCCCCCACCATTCCAGGAACCCTTTGTTCTTGAACTTCCTTCCCCACCTTCAGACGCTGTTCTCTGGAAGAAGACAATAGACACTTCCAGGGACAATCACAGCCACAGGCAGCCACAGCCATACAAATTCCTACTCCAATAATCCCATCTTTCCCTGGGTCTAAGCTCAGTTTCCATTCCCACGTGACTCAGGCTATGGCTCCTCACTTTCTGGTCCTTCTTGCATTTCCTGCTCTCCCATCCATAAAATGCATTTACGTTCTCTTCCACCAGGTGGCAGACTGCTCATGCCTGAAAAACCCTCAGCTAAGCAGGGGCTAGCACACCTTGTCCACTATGGAAGACTCTAGCGATGGTCCTGGGTGGGGTGTTTGAAATCTTCTGTCCTTGCTCCCAAGCTCGTATAGTCTACCTTCTGGGGAGATGACATTAGATACTGGTGTTCATTTAGGAAGGAGAGGGTTTGTTTTTTTCTGTAAATGGCAGGCACTATTCTCACTATATCAATCCTGCATCAAATCCTCAGGTCTGCATTCAGTGTGACAGCAACAGAAGGAAACAAGCTGATGAAGGGGACAGCAGATTTGTCCTCTGCCCTTCTTCTGACCCCAGATTAGGGCATATCCATGTCCTAGTATTGGTGCCCATCCCCACAGGGTGTCATCAAATGCATTGCCAAAGTTGTGTGTTTCCCAGTTAGCAGAGGGTTCTATGCAGCCTGTGATGTCTGGGATATCTAGAAATGACATAAGGAGGGCTCCTTTGTCTCTCCACAGCTGCCCAGTGGATTCCTTGTATTTCCTGCCCATAGAGGACACTCATTGAAGCCTCATGTGCTTGCTGAGGCAAAGGTGGCAGCTTACTTGAGAACTAACCTCAGTTGCTTCCTCTATATGAGATAAGATCTCCACACCCACCTGGGAAACAGGAGATGTTCTGTCAGACAAGAGTCCTAGCCTCTCCCTTCTTGGCAGCTCTCAACACACAAGTGACTTATTGGGAAATCTTGTCTGACTGTGACCTGTCCACCTAATAATCTAGTGAGAAAGAGTTTACCTCATGATGTCTGCCTGAGGCCTGATGCGCCTTCTGATAGACCAGGACCACAGTCTGCTCTCTGCCAGGGCCCAGGACCATGCAAGAGCCAGTGATATAGAGTATATTTTCCCTGATGCAGGTGGGTCAGACTGAAGTCTGCCCAAGAAAGGTGTCTCAAATTAGACACTGGCATTAACTCCACCCTAAGCATTTTTCTAGTATTGAAATCTCAGGGTCATGGATTTTCCTTGGTCATGGAGCCCTAGGGCAGGTCCAACCAATGTGTTCATGGATTTATTGTCACTGGCTGCTTTCAATCTCCCAGAGCAGAGTTGAGCGGGTGTAACAGAGACCATCTGTCCTGTGAAGACTTCAATGTTGATACAGTAGCTGTATTGGTCAATTTCTGCTGCTGTGATGAACACCAAGGCCACGGTCACACACAGAAGGAAGGGTTTGGGATCTTGGAGTTTCAGAGGACAAGAGTCTATCACCTCACCGCAGAGAAGCATGGCAGTGGGTCCACCATAGTTTCTATAAGAAAGCAGGCTGAGCAAGCCACGAGGAACAATCCGGTAAGCAGCACCCACCCGTGCATGGCCTCTACTCCAGCTCCTGCCTCCAGTTTCCTGCTTGCCCTGTTTGAGTCCTGTCCTGACTTCCTTCAACTGATGTACAGTGATTAAGAAATGGAAGTCAAATAAACCCTTTCCTCCCCAAGTTCCATTGGTCAGGATGTTTCTTCACAACATGAGTAACCCTAAAGAAGACAAGTTCATACAAGATAGTGTGATATTCCTGTGACTGCTGACCATGGGTTTTGGGAAGGCTTGTAGAAGAACTTTGGAAGCTGGAAAATCATCAAGTGTTGAGAGCTCACGGGGCCATTCTTCAGGAGCCTGGCAGATAAGAGTGTTGAAAGCAACACAGACAATGGAGGCCTGGCTTGTGACGTTAGGAAAGCAGACTCTATGGAGTCATATGAGTTAAGAATCAATGGTTCTGGGTATTGGGGGCTGAAGAATCAGCTATGATTACCAAGTACCAGAACTACAGAAGTGAAACCTTTGCTTTGTTGGGATACTCAATACTGACCAGCTGGAGTTGAGAAATTAGCAGTGATTACAAAGAAACCAATATCTTAGAGGTGAGGTCTTCTGGAAAGTGTTTCCTGAGAGTCAGCCCACACAGGCTGTGTTCCAGACATGGCCAAGATTGTGCCTTATGCAGGCAGCTGAACTTGACAGTGTAAGAACCACCCAGGTGGTGCTAGTTCTAACGGTGTGAAGGTGTTGTGAAGGCTAGGTGCTGTGTAGTAGGACAGGACTCCATGGAGAGAGACCAGGATAGGTTAATAGTGAAAGTGTAGTTGCAGCAGAAGACCCCAACATTTTGGAGATCCAGTCCCATGGGATGACCCCTAAGAACAGCAGCAGCAGTGAAGTGAAGCCAGCCAGAGCTAAGAAGACCAGCTGTGTGTGCCACAGAGGGCGAGCTGCAGAAGTAACTCTAGAGTTGATGACGTGCAACACATAGTTCAATCATGGACCCTGTGTCCAGGTGCTCACTGGGGACTCCACCACTGGGTCTGTTCTCCAAAAGAGCTTCTGGAGAAGTTAGACTCATAAAGACAGGACTAAGAGCAAAGTCTAAGGAACTGCAGAATAGAAGAGCTTGTAATAAAAGGAAGTATTCGGAAATTTCAAACTGAGCAACCTGAGACATAAAAGCAGATGTCCTCCCCCAAAACAGCAGAGCTGTAAGTTTAGTAAGTGTTCCATTGTTTTGTACAGACAACATAACCATGGCAACTATTATAAAGGAAAGGTTTGACTGGGCCTTGTTTACAGTTCCAGAGGTTTACTCCATTGTCATCAAAATGTGGAGTCTGACAGCAAGCAGCAGACGTGGTGCTGGAGAAGGACCTGAGAGATCTACAGCACAATCCACAGGCGCAGGAAGAGAGGGAGACACCGGACCTGGCTTGGGCTCTTGAAATATGAAAGTCCACCCAGTGCCGTGCTTCCTTGAACAAGACCACACAAACCACAACATGGAAACACCTCCTAATCCTTCTAAGCAGTGCTATTCCCTGATCACTTGGCATTCAAGCACACAAGGCCCCCTTCTTCAAGCCACCATAATTTAACTTTTCACATTCCATCCTGTGCTCTGCACATCCACTCCAGACTGCAGACCTGATCAGTAATTGCCTTTGTAAAGTTCGTCCTTCCCTACATTTGTACAGTGAGACTTTTCACAGCCAGCATCCACACACCCAGGATAACAACAGCTGTGCAGACAAAGCCGGCCACACTATTCCACTGTCTGCTGATATCAAACCAAGGCATGATCGCACAAACTGACTGGCTCTTATGAAAACTGATGTTGTACCAGAGACCTTCCCTGTGGAGATGAGTGTGTACACACACACACACACACACACACACACACACACACACTCACCCCAGAAGGAGAACCTCTGACAGAACAGAGTACCAACACCACAAAGGTCCATCGTTGGGACCACCGGGTTTTCTTTGGGGTTGCTAACAGGGATGTGGTGAAGAGTTACTTACAGGAGCTGGGATGGATTCACAGCAGCTGCCTCCCTGCAGAGCCCACATCAGCTCAGGCAGCAACTCAGGGAACAGCACAGCTGAAACTGCACAGCTTGCAGCCTCGGGACAGGTCTCGGGTCAGGTCTCGGGTCTTCTCTGAAGCTGGTCAGGGTCTCCTCCTTCTACAACCTGGGTGAGTCCTCTAAAACTTCTGAGTTTCAGTTTCTCAACAACAGGATATTGCTTATTTCCTGGCCAAAGGAGCCTCGCCCCTCCTCTGAAGAGTGTTGCTGTAGGAGGAAAGACTAAAAGCAACAAGTGACCTTTCCAACAAGGCAGAAGAATTTGTCCCACAGAGAGATTAAAGATTAAAAGAAGCACAACTCTGCAGAGGACCCACAGTATTTATTTCCAGTCCCTTCTTTGATTATAATAAGTGAGATCTTCCTTTGGGTTCACAGTAGCCAAAGCAAACAGCTTGTCTGTGCTTTAGGATGTCCTCCGTTTCCTTAGGAAGGCCTTCTCCAGGAAAAAACACTTCAGAGCTTAATTGACATTTCTGTCTCTAACCAATGAAAAAAGCAGAAAGTAGAGGCAGGGTGTGTCCATAAATAGTAATTTCTATCATCTCTGGTATCACTCAGAAGTCATGGGGTTCTCCAGAGTAACCGGGGAGCTCGAGTCAAACCTGAGAACAAATCAAGTACAGCTACCTGATGTACGAGCACACTACACACAGCACTCTGCTCTAGACCAGTGCTTCTCAACCTCCCTAATGCTATAACCCTGTGATACAGTTCCTCATGTTGTGGTGACCCTGACCACCATAACATTAGTTTCATTGATAATTTGTAACTCTAGTTTTCCTAATATTATGAATTATAATGTAAAAATGTGATATGCATGATAACTTATGTGTTATCCTCAGTGGGGTCATGAACCACAGGTTAAGAATCAGTGCAACTGTGCAGAAGGTTAATGTCTGACAGCAATATAAGTTATATTGTACAACAAATATATGTTTTTAAGGCATACAGTCTTGCACTCAAACCTTAACACAACAGACTCTTCCTTCAGAGTAATTTGTAAATGAAGTTGTCTTGCTTAGGAAGGATTTTTAGGGGCTTTGGTTTCCAGTTACTGGCCATAGCTATCATGAGGTATGACAAGAGAAGTCAGACTGTCCCATAGTCAGACTGATGACTATCTTGAATATCACCATAGAACCTTCGTCCAGTGACAGATGGAGACAGAGACCCACATTGGAGCACTGGACTGAGCTCCCAAGGTCCAGTTGAAGAGCTGAAGGAGGGAGAATATGAGCAAGGAAGTCAGGACCACGAGGGGTGGGTCACCCACTGAGACTGTGTGCCTGAGCTAATGGGAGATCACCAACTCCAGCTGGACTGGGAATGAACGAGCATGGAATCAAACTGGACCCTCTGAATGTGGTTGACGATTGGGGCAGACTGAGGGGCCAATGATAATGGCACTGGGATTTGTCTCTACTGCATGTACTGGCTTTTTGGGATCCTATTCTCTTTGGATGCACACCTTCCTAAGCCTGGATGTACTCGGGAGGACCTTGGATTTCCTTGCCCTGTCTTAGGACTGGAGGATGTGTGGGGGAGGGTGTGTGGGGGAGCGGGAGGGAAGTGGGAGGAGGGGAGGAAGTGGGAATTTTGATTGTTATTTATAAAGTAATAAAAAATGTTTTCAAAAAAGAAAAGTTCCAAATAGTCAATTTACTTTTCTTCAGTTTTATTTATTTTCTTGGGTGTATATGAGTGTTTTGCTCACCTATATGTATATGCACAATTGTGTAGATGATGGATAGCCACCACGTGGTTGCTGGAAATTGAACTCTGGAGCCTGTTCTGTGAGAGCAAATGTTCTTAAATACTGAGCCATCTCTCCAGCTGCATTTTGAGAATGAAACAGCAGCATGCAGCATACTTTTTATTTCAACTATATCCAAGGCTATAGTAATCAAAACAGTATGAGAAGCACTAAGCAACAATGGAATAGAACAGGAAGCCCACAAATAAGCCTGCGCAAAGACCTTCAACAAGGACGCAAAAATCAAATGGTGGGTGGGGTGTAGAGGGAAGGGAAATCTCTTCAATAAACAATTCTGAGGAAACAGGCAAGCAGCATGGGAGATGCTAAACCTGAACCTCACAGCACACATCATGCAAAAGCATCCTTAAATGGACTGAAGATTTAAGTCTAGAGTCCGACACTGTGAAACTGTGGTAAAAACTCTAAGGAAACATTTTGTTATTTATCTTTGTAGTGACATTTGAAACTGGGGTCGTTTGAATGTAACTGGCTCCCTAATTCCAAATCTTATTATCACAGAATCTCATAAGAAGTGCAGCTTTGTTGGAATGAGTATGGCCTTGATGGAGTAAGTGTGTCTGTGTCACTGAAGGCAAGCTTTAGGGTTTCATACACTCAGGATTCCTCCCAGTGTGTCAGTGGCCTGTTGCCTGCAAGATGTAGCCAGCGCAATTCCAGCCTGCAGGCTACCATGCTTCCGGCCATAATAGACTGAACCTCTCAACTTTAAGAGAGCCACCACAATTAAAGGTTTCCTTCATAAGAGTTGTCGTGGTGATGGTGTCTCTTCACAGTAATAGGAAATCCTAAGACAGAAATTTAATATAAAACATACAAATAAGAAAAGCAAAAGTAAAAACATCAAACTAGACAGGTAGAGGCAAAAGGGGAAAAATAACAATAACGGGTCAGGCAGAGTGGTTCACAACCACTCAGAACTCAGAAGGCAGAGGCAAACAGATCTCCACGAGATTGAGGCTAGCCTGGTTTCTATAAATTTACAGACAAGCCAGAGTTACATAGTGAAACTTTGTCTCAACAAACAAACAAACAAACAAACTGTGACTAGGCATAAAAAGACATCTCCAAAGCACACTTGTGTTTCTCAGAGAGAGGATGGGGAACTGTGGTTGGAATTCAATGCAGAGGTGTGGGAGGGGGAGCAAGGCTAAGAGGAAAGACAGGGTGATCCAGACCAGAGGTGTCAAGAGCATTGTGGAAACAAGGCTGGTTTTGGGGTAGAGGAGAAAAAAGAATCTAAGGCAGTGGGGGTGTGGTGAAGCTGAGATTTGAGAGGTAGGAGAAAGTTAACAGGGAGAGGCCCACAAAGGTAGACAGGGGATCAAGACAGGGATGATCCTGGGAAAATGAATGGGCCAAGAGGCAGTACTACACCAGGCCCAAGGTCAAGAGGGGTTGAGTGGGTTGAGGGAGAGAATAAGGCATTGGGGGTTAGGGATTGGAGGACAAGATAAAGGGGTAAGGGAGGGGAGCAGAGATTGAGAGGTTGAGGGCTGACAGCAGAGCAGAGAGGGCCCTAAAGCTGGGCTAAAAAAAAGAGCAAGGACCTGGATGGGGGCTCAGGACAGTAGGGGTAGGACAGGACAGAGTGGAGGGAGAGGGGTGGCAGTGGGAGAGAGTGGAAGGTGAGACCAGCCAAGCTTGGGGACATGGGACAGTGACTGGAGGATGTGAGGAAAGCCCTCAAATAGTCCCTGATAATTCCTCTATGGCTGCAGGCAAGAGAATGTTACACAGCCCTAAGAACTGCCTGATTTATTCCTTGACGTTCTGCCCTGCTTCAGCTGCCTAGCATCTCTGAGGTTGCAGCCAGTTTGTGTGGGGGAGGGACAACATGGAGTGGGAGGCCTGGTGACACCAGAGCCACAGAGCCCAGGCTGCTCAGCTTCTGCCCGGGTGTCATGGCCTCTCAGGAAGAGGACCTGAGCCCCTGGAGGCTCTCCTGGAAGTTGATGTAACCACAAAACCACTAACAAAAAAGTGAAGGGGTGTGACAGACAAACCCCAAACTGCCTGAGGTCACAGCACTGATTCAGAAATTTTCATGAATGTCATCAGCAGGAAGCTGGTGTCTACCACAGTGCCCTTCACATCTGAGGCTGGGTTTAGAGAAGGGAATCCATGGCCTAGCCACAGTAACCAAGCTCATTACTGCACCCTGGCTCTTCTCCCATTGTCCTGGAGACAAATCCATGAGTTCAGGGGACTCAAGAATACAGTGTGAGAGGACACAGGGCCACAACATCAGGGAGGAAGGGTGCTCCTAGCTGAACTGATGATCCTGGGCCTCCACCCCATCTCCCATCCCCTAAGACTCCTTCTGGATGTCAGTGCAGTCCAGATCCTGGGGTTTGCTCTCTACCCCACCCCATACTCTTTCCCTCAGAGGCTTTCAGAGAAGCTGCGACGTCTCAGAAAAATTCCTACATCGAAAGATAAGATAGGGCCAGAGGAAGTGGAAGTTCACTGTGGTTCACCAGAAGCCACCGAATCTCTAAAACCACAGCTGCTCCCACGGACAGGAGTCACACCACCCCAGTTCTCTCTTCATTTCTTTATCTCCTCCTCCTCATTTCCCCTTCCTGTATAAGCTGGGTTGCCAGCTTGCACCAGTTCCCTTCATCAGCCTTCTCAGAACTGAGGGCAGAGGTCACCACACACAGCTTCACTGGCTACTTCATATCCTGAACCAGCACCGAGTTCACCATCTTTATATCCCCTTCCCCCACCCTCCTACCCAGGAAGGTGGCACTGCATGCCCCTGCCTGAGGACACTCTCGGACATCCTTGCACTCTCTCCCATAGAACCAAAAGCAGGGATAAGGGGAAAACTTTAAGTCATATATGACCTGCCAATGGTGCTAAGTAGGTCATAAGAGAACCACTGCCTCCCAGAACCGCCCCCCCCCACAGGCTAACTCCTGGGCAGACAGTAGCAGAAAATGCGGTTCATTTCAGCAGACATTGCATAGCTTTTATTTACAGAGCACATAATAATATTGACAACTCGGCAAGTCACTCCCTCTCTACATCAAACACTATCCCAGCTTCAGTGTGGAAGCAGCTCAAGAGATTGGGGGACAACAGGAGACCAGGTTTGGCCTCTGTACTTCTTACTTGACCCCAGATTAGGTAGCATCCTGTATCCCAGTATTGGTACCCATTCCCTTGAGCACTCCCTCCAAGTGATGCCAAAGCTGTGTGCTAAACAACCAGAATGGTCCTGTGCTGCCCGTGCCTCTGGGTCAGCTGGAGAGGATATGGGGAGTTTCTGGTGTTTGTGCCCATTGTGCTCTGAAGTCCAGGAAATGAGGATGCTCCTGAGTCAGAGATGCTTGCTGGGGG